CAGCACGGTTTGGCTTCCTTGCCTTCTGGTACGTGTGCCTCAGCTCCTTCACCTTTGCCCTGCACTGCAGCGTGTCCCGGTCACAGCCCTTTTTGCACAAGCTGGCCATAGGTCCTGGAATTCCGACATCTGGAGCGCAGCTGGGACTGGACAGCCTCCTCTTGATACCAGTCAGCTCTGTGTTCTTGGGGAACCAGGGTGCAGTATCCAGCCTGTCTGACTCATGAAGGACACCACCCCCCTCCCCCCAGCCTCTGCTTGAACCAAAACCAATCAGAGGAAAGACTTACGGAAAGCAATAAAAAGGCGGTGGGAGACAAACCTAAACCCCTCCTGACAAGGGTGACAGGATTAAGGCAACTCCCCTAGCCTCATATGCTTCAAAAGTGGGACAGAGAGGCATCTCTATTAGCATACAGAATGGAGAACAGATTCCAAGGCAAGAACTGCACTGAACTCCGGGACCAGAAAAGCAGGGAAGCACTGCATCATGGGGGATCTCTGTTCCAGATATTAATGAACCTATGCCTGCACACACCCAGGTCAGCAGTTATCAGACCAATTTTAGTAATGCATCCTTGATTGATATCCAAAATACTGAGGCTGCCCAATTGCATTATGAGCTCCCTTGAAGGAACACCACTCATAGCGAGGAATGATCAGTTCCTATTGTCTAGCCTAAAGAAAAGTCATCAGTTTACCCATAAACAAATCTAGTGTTCTCCCTTGAACCATTGTTGTTTCCCTACAAAAACCCCTACCCATGCTCAAGTAAGTGTTCTGATGTCTGGACCCAAACTCTGCATCAGTTCCACTGGGACCTAATCTTCTCCCTGTCTGATCGTGCTGGGGGCTCTGCCTGTCTCCAGCACTCAGGACCCTGAGCTACGACCATCACCTGGAAACCCTAACCAGTTCAAGGTTCATGGATCTGTAAGACCCCAGCTCTCTCTCTCTGTCTCCCCCCCCCTCTCTCTTTTCTTTTCTACCTCAGGTATAACTTTTTAACCCTGATTTCTTTGATCAGGTATAGTTTTCTATATCTGACTTTTATAATCTTTAATAATGGAACTGTTTTGTTTGTTTAGGCTCTCCTTGTGTGGTTGTCACTATTATTCAATAAATAACTTTTATGGTAAGCTGGTTGCTTCCCTCCCTCTCTCTCTGAACTTTACTCTTTTGTGTTTTTGGCTTCTCCATTTACTCTGCAGCAACGCTCCTCTTACCTAATCTAAAGATCCCTGTAGCGTCCAAAAATATTGTGGGGTTTGCTCATCAAGTGGGTTACTACCAGAACAATTGTAATGTGAAAGTGGGGATAGGGATGTGCTGAACCTGGGACATACGAGGGTGGCAGCTTGGAAGTGTTGCTCGACCCAGTCCGCTGAGTCAAGGGGCATAAAAGGGTGGCAGCCTGGAAGTGCTGTTCAACCCAGCCTGCTCAGGCTTACTCTTTTCCAGTCGGTACCTGCGGCATATAAGGGTGGCAGCTTGGAAATCCTGCTTCACCCAGCCCACTGAGTCCAGGGACATATAAGGGGTCAGCTTGAGAGTGCTGATTGACCCGGTCCACTCAGACTTGCTGTGTTAATATGTGTGTGTGTGTGTGTGTGTGCGTGTGTGTTCATCTGCTTCTGGGGCTGGAGGAACCCAGCCCTGGGGAACCTAGGTCCTGCAGGATAGCTCCATTGGGAGGGGATTTGCAGAAGGGAAAAGTAGAGCTCCATATGAAAACACAAGTGACACAAGCAGTACATTGATAGAATTACCGAACACCCCCCCATCCCGAAGAGTAATCCTAATAAATGAGCATATCCCAAAGTAATGGGCAAATCGGGTAACACTCTCCCCAAACACTCATTAGATCTGGTAGCTCCGCACTGCTCCAAGCAGGAGATCATTTGGTGCGTGGAGCCGCCATGGCCACTGGGGAGGATGAGATGTGGGCTCTGCACGCCAAGCAAACAGGAGAATTTCAAAATTCCTGGGGCTTTAAAGGGGGAGGGACCCTGGAAGGTTGTTTACCTGGCGTCAGGGCAGCAGAGTTGAAACTGCTGACCAGAGTGGTCAGGATGGGCATTGTGCGACACCTTCCGGAGACCAATGATGGCACAAAAATCAAGCATGGTGTCTACACTGGCACTATGGTGCTAAAACTTTTGCGTAAAAAGCCTTATGACTCTCGTCGAGGTGTTTTTACTTCAGCACTGCAACTGAGGAGTTTCGTCACAAAAAATGGCTTTGCAGTGCATACACCTCCACTGTGTAGACAAGCCCTTATACTATCTAGAGTCATAACACATATAGATAAGATGTTAAGATTGAAAACATTGCCAGTCTCCTCACTCTCAAACCCTCTCTCACACACATGCGGGTGTACTTGCATGTTGTTGGGCAGACAGCTGCTGTCTTTTCAGTAGTTTTGATCTGTTATCACTTAAACTGTGGAAGTGGGAACACTTCAACACCTTTAGCTGGACACAGAAACTTTTAACATTAGATATCCCAGTGTATTGTGATAATAATGCAAATCTTTAGACCCACATAAGAAAAGCCCGGCAGATTACATTATTTTTTGGCAACTGGCAAATTCATAAAAAATCTGGCCAGGCTGGTGAAATGCCAGCCAGATGATAACCCTAACAGGACAGTATCTTCAGGGTGGCACTGGGCCATGGGGCACATACATGCACGAGAGTGTGCCTGCTGTTGCCCTTGGGCCCTTTAAGAATGGGGATTGCCAGGTTTTGTAGTTTCCAGACAGGGCACATGATAGTAAAGGGTCCACTGTTGAACAAAAACCCCTGAAGGAAGACCCTCTGTAGGGACCAAGCAGGAGGCCTAGGGCAGTGGCTCTTAACCTTTCCAGACTACTGTACCCCTTTCAGGAGTCTGATTTGTCTTGCGTACCCTCAAGTTTCAACTCACTTAAAAACTACTTGCTTACAAAATCGGACATCAAAATACAAAGTGACACGGCGCACTGTTACTGATAAATTGCTGACTTTCTCATTTTTACCATAGAATTATAAAATAAATCAATTGGAATATTAATATTGTACTTACATTTCAGTGTATAGTATATAGAACAGTACAAACAAGTCACTGTCTGTATGACATTTTTGTTTGTACTGACTTCCCTGGTGCTTTTTATGTAGTCTGTTGTAAAACTAGGCAAATATCTAGATGAGTTGATGTACTCCCTGGAAGACCTCTGTGTACCTCCAAGGATACGTGTACCCCTGGTTGAGAACCACTGGTCTACGGGATAGCCAGGAATGGCTACCTAAAGGGAGGGGCATATCCACTCCTTTCCTAGCTTGTGGAAAGCAGAACAGGGTTCTGATACTCAATGTTTTGTGTGGTTTTGAGACTTGTAGATTCTGTTTATTAATAAAACCAGCCCTGAAGAAAGGGACTTGGAATGAATCTTGAGAATTTGGGCTTTATTTTGACTACCCTGGCTGGTGAATCTGCTCATTGGCTTAAAAGCCAGTGTTAAATTCCTAGGGGTGACTTGTTCTGTTGCCTCATGGTGAAGCCATGGCATTGTCATTTACTTGTGTTTCATACTCTGGTTCCTCATCCTTTTAACCAGTCTACATGTGCAGAACTAATCTGGAGTTTTTGGAGCTCAGGAAAACTGGTATCAATAATATAGCTGTAACCAAAACAAATACTACTTACTACTTTTGTGTATTGCTTTAAAACCATGTGAGAGAATAGATATAGAAATTATGCATCCAAGTTATGTGTCTATTTAAACAACATTAAATGGTATCTAGCAATGTTTCTATTTCATTGTGACACTGTAATTTATGGGGTTAGATAGGTTAGTGAAAATTGGCAGCCTTTGTATTATGTTGAATTTGATTCCAATTTTGTTGATTTGAAAAGTATTAAGAAGCAAATAGGGCATGAAACACTTCATTTTCCCTTGTTATGATTAGCTGTGCCAAAACATTGAGGCACAGGCCATGTCGTCTATGTAGACAGTGTTTATTGAGATAAAATAATTGCTTCCTTGTCTGTAGTTATGGGATACAAATCCTGCTCCTTCATTCCTGCTGATTTTTCTCTCATATTTCTTCTCCTTTTTGAATATGTTGTTTCTTTTAAAAATGAAATGTGACAATAGCAAATTCCTAATTGGCTTTAGGCTCACTAGTGACATCCAGCTCAAATCCAATTTCAGTGGTGGTTTTTGAATGAAAAATAATTTGCAGGAAGGATTATTGTTTAACTTTACAAATTAAAAGGCCCAATCCTCCAAAACGCTGAGTGCTCTCAAATCATATTAAATCAGTGATAGTTGAGGGATCTTATTGTTTTATAGGTGAGATCCAGAGAGAGAAAAAACCATATGTGCCTGATTTGATTTTGTGGGAAGCTTTTAAGATGCGCTTTGGTCTTGTCTACACTTGCAACAGCATGTAGGCTACATGTAGCTACATGCTGCAGTGAAAAGCAGGCTGCATACACACTTCTGGTGTGTAGCTGCATGCAGCAGTGAAAGTCTCTGGTAGTAGGGAAGCAATAGGGATTGCTGACTTTCCCCACTGCCTCCCCACTGCGGCAGCCTTTACCTGCTACCTTCCCCCTGCCAGAGCCTTATCCGCTGCTGGAACCTTTCCCTGTCACCATCTCCCTCCTTCCAGAGCTTTTTGCCACTATTGGAGCCTTTCACAGCACCCAGGACACTACACTCCTAAAAATAGCAGCGTAGACATGGGAAGGACTGGTTGGGCATATAGAGAGCTGCTTAACTATGAAGGTTTTTTTGAAATATCAAGTTGTGAAGCCTATTTTTAAAATAAATCACTTGTCATCCTAGATATAGGCTAATATCAACTTACTGTATGTAGCTCTTCTAATAGGCAATCTAATGTGATGTGATTACTACACACAGTGTCTGAATATTGATGGTATCATTTCACTGACCAGCTGTTTGTTCTTTCCTTCCCCCTCTCATGCTTCACTTTACATTTGTTGCACCTCAGTGGTGTTGGTCGAAACTGGGGCTGGGCCTCTGCAGGCAGCAGCATCCTGGCTGAATTTGGTACTCTGCACATGGAATTTGTCCACCTCAGCTACCTGACTGGGGACCCTGTCTACTACAACAAGGTTAGTTTTGTGCTGACAGTCGACTTTTATAAGAAGACTCAGAGTTGTGTACTGTGAATCTGATTAGGAATGAGAGAGCCTGATCGATTACAATAATGTTTTTTGGTAACAGACCAATTATTTCATTCTTTGCATTTATATTACCAAAATACATAGCTCTCCAAAGCAGAAAATTATGAAGACAAGATCTTTTTATTTTTTGTACAGATATTTAGAAATGATGCTCATGACATATGTCTACATGAGTAGCCATTAAAAGGAAGTGCCCATCTAGAAAAAGCCCGCAAGAAGCCTGTTTAATTAAATTATGAAAAATTGCTGTTGAAGAAGAAAATCCAGATTTAAACAAATGTTGAAGATAGATGAAAATTATTTTTGGTGATCCTGACTTTTGCTTTAATTTAGGTCATGCACATTCGGAAGTTACTTCAAAAAATGGACCGGCCTAATGGGCTTTATCCAAATTATTTGAACCCAAGGACTGGGCGCTGGGGTCAGCGTGAGTATTTTTATTATATTTTTTTAGTAATTAAAGTTTATCTTATACACTCAGAATAATGAATAGGAAAAATTACTTTGAATGAAAGAGAGAGAGACTCTAAAATTGAGGAGTATAGAGAATACACAGCATCATTTGTATTTGGAGTGCAAAAGGGTTTCCAAGACTTGAAGATATTTAATGGAATTATCTTTTATTTATTACCTCTCATAGTGGTCATTTGGCTGTCTTGATCAAGTCTTACAGTACTTTTCCCCAAAGGCACTTCCCATATTACTTCGTGTCTCTGCCTCACTTACATTGATCAGCAACGTCTTCAGTAATAGTTATCAGGTTGGAAATTGTTTCTTTGATTTTCTTTGACCTCCTCAAAAGTGGGAAGAACTGTTTCACATTTCTGTAAGCCAGCTGGCAAATAGATGTCACAGTTTGTGGGAGTACTAATTAGAGGTAATTATAACTCAACTGTATGCAGGGCCATCCCTACGGAGTGCGGGGCCCAGGGTGGAAGTGACGAATCCATCACTTCCAGGACCAACCCGTCACTTCTGGGACCAATTGCACAGGCCTGTGGGGCCCCCCCAAAGAATGGGGCCAGGAGCGGTTGCCCCGATTCACCGTACCCTAAGGATGGTTCTGACTGTATGGGATTGGTAGTGGACTATAGGACCTTTCACCTTTAGCTTGCAGGTTGGTAGTGACTAAAATTTTTAGCCATCTGGTTTCTGTTCAGTGGCCTATGTGAAGTGAATTGGTATCAGTCTAGTTTCTAATTTACAGATGTATGCATCATAAAAAACATCCTCACAAATAACACTAAAGTTGAACCCCTTGATGGCAATGAAAGAAGAGAGCCCAAGCATTGACTAAGTCCTAGAGACATACATGATTCCTTGAATTGATTCTTCCAGGACAGAGTTGAAGCCATTACTACTGCTATGGTATTGTATTTGTTCTGTGGACAAAGAGAGTTCTTTTGCTCCAAGGCTTGTCAATCCAGTATCTTTCATTTAAAAAAACAACAACAAAAAATCTGACCAACCTCTCTTGTCATTAAAGAATGAATTCTGGTCCCATTTGAAGTCAGTGGCAGATTTCAATAGGGCCAAGGTTTAGTACTAAATGCCTAGCAGAATTTCCCCAGAGCTTGTACATGGAGAATTTGCTTCTATTTTTGTGTCCAACATGAGAAGAACCCAAATGCATTTGTCACTAAGACAGAATATGAAGGGATTCATCTAAAGTGATAATTAAGATTAAATTCCACTGTAAGTGTCTCCAGTACATTTTGAAAGTCAGACTAGATTATCACCTAATGGTCCTTTCTGACCTTGGAATCTACAGTATTAATCTAAGAAGTAAAAGATAGTAACTTTTGAAAAAAGGAGCATGATTAGTTAGCTAGTTTGTTTCAGCAAAGATTAGTTGTTTTTTAACCGTATGGCAAAAGCAAAGAGTGGGGAAAATATTACTCAAAGGAAAAAATTACAGTTTTGTTTCAAAATAAGACTTTTCATTCTTGTTTACATTTTGAAGCCTTCTGCTTCTGCTTCTGCTGGTGCTGTTTTGCCAAAAAGTTGCATCATTTGGCACATACGCGGGATTCTGTTTTTTTATCGCTTTTCAAAATTAACAGTCCCCAGGGAATGGAAATAATGCTATTAAGAGAGAATAAATATGATGGGCAGTGGATCATTTTTATCTTCACTGCTGAGGAAGTGGGATGGGGACTCAAAGCACAATGTCTTACGAGTTCTGAGGAAGGACGGACTTGTGAATAAAGCTCACAACATGGTCCAAGACTTAGGTTCTTAGGATAAAAGGAAATATTACTTTATATAATATGTAATTCACCTGGGTAGCTCACTGCCATCAAGCTATTATTAAGCTACTTATGGTTGCTACAGGGCATGCTACTTCCCCTCTCACCCTCTCTACACGCTCACAAAGAACCAATTTTAAAAGCAAGAAAATGCCACGTTAAGGGGGGTCTTCCTCATACATTTCCACTACATGTCAATTTATTCCACTGTAAGTGAGACACTTCAGCCCGTCCTGGAGATGTACTTTCCACTTCCAAGTCGCATGCAGTGTATTCCCCACATTCATCTGACTTGCACAGCAATGGAAAACTGTAACTCCAAACCTCAACTACCTTAGAATGGATACATGGAATACCTAGATTTCAGTTTATTGGAGGAGTTATGAAATCTTCTTAGGGGAAATATGAGTTTGAAGCTAAGGTTTTGTATTGCATCATGAGTCAGATGAATATCCTGTTTCTAGAAGTTAACTTATGATTACAGTCCTGAGAGGCTCACCCCATCTCCAGAACCTATCTGACTCACCTTTCAAGGTCCCTTCCAGTTCTAGGAGATGGGATATCTCCATTATAAAAATTTATACAGCCAAAATATTTATTCCACCACCTCTCTTCAAATGAGAGCTGCTAATTATCAGGCTCTCTTGTCAAAATGTAATTTTATTTTTTTCTGCAATTTCTAAATTTGCTGACAAGTTGCTAGAAGAATATGAGGATCAGGTTTTGGCTTTGGTTTCTGAGAGATGCCTTACGGCTCAAATATCCCTTCAAGTATACTACTGATATGGCCTCAAATTCTATATGCATTGCAATTTCCGCAAGGTGTTCTTCCTGGCTGCATGCTTCTGGTGTTCCAAAGGAGCTGCAGAACACAATAGAAGATTTACCCTATAAGGAGCCTAAACCGTTCTCTACCAAAACAGACAATGCCATGCAGACACTGAAGGACTCCCATGCAATGTGTCGTTTGCTAGGAGTTTACAAAAAGGAAATGGTTTAAGCCACAATCTTACTTCAGACCCTCTGTCCAACAGATGTTATAGTATGCTCCCAAGAGAATATCAAGACCTCCTTGAGGTCGCCACCTGTCTTTGTTGACGGGAGGCCCTTCTTACCAGCAGGTGCTCAGCACAGTAGGGGAGGGGATATGTTACCCAATTTACCTCCCTCCTTTTTCCCAGCCCACCTTCCCTGTCTCTTTACAGGGACTCTCAAGACTGTATTACTTCAAGTAGTACCGTCTCTTCTGGAATTGGGAGAAATACAAGAAGTTCCTTACCAACATAAAGGGAAAGATTTCTATTCCCAGTACTTCCTGGTCCCACAGAAATTTGGTGGTCTTCGTCCTATTCTAGATCTAAGGATATTGGAACTATTTCATCCAGAAAATCAAATTCAGGATGGTCGCCCTTCCTTCCATTATCCCTTCCCCAGAGATTCATATGCTGCTCTCAGTTTACAGGACACATATTTCCATGTGGCAATTCATCCCTGCCACAGGCAGTACCTTCAATTCATAGCAGGCAACAACCCTTACCAGTATAACATGCTTCCTTCAGGCTGCCAGTTCCAAGGGTCTTTGCCAAATGCATGGCAGTGGCAGCAGCCCACCACCAGCTGGGCATTCAAATATTTCCTTACCTGGATGATTGGGTAGTTTATGGAACATCAATCGACCAGGTCCAAAACGGCATCCTAATAACCAGACTGCTGTTTTCCATCTGGGCCTGAAATTAAATTTGGACAAATCACAATTACAACCAGTACAGTGCATAATCTTCATAGGAGTGGACCTCGATACCATGACCACCATGGCTTACCTTCCAAAGGAAAGGTTTCAATCTGTAGCCTTTCTTTCAGAAAGCTTCAAATCCAACCCAATGACATTGGTGCATACCTGCCTGCAGCTATTGGGCCACATGGCCTTGTGCACAAATTTAACTTTGCATGCCAGACTTCACCTTCACTGTTTTCAGGCCTATCTCAATTCAGTGTATCGTCCCTTCCAGGAACCCTGTGGACATGCAGATTTGCCGCCTTGTGCGAGTGCTTCAGTTTCTGGATTGGTGGTTAGATACCTGAAATGAGTGTAAAGAAGCTTCCTTTCTGTCACCAGACCTGACTATGAGTCTGGTGACAGATGCATCTTCCAAAGGCTGGGGAGGGCCCATCTCAGTCAACTCTAGGCACAAGCCCTTAGTCATCTGAGGATGTTTTGCTCCACATAAATGTGCTGGAGCTCTGAGCTGTTCTTTGAGCCTGTGCAATGTGTATGTTCACCTCAAGAACCAGGTGAAACAAGTTCTTATGGACAATACCCCTGCCATGTTTTATCTAAACAAGCAGCGAGGTGCAAGATTGTCTCAGCTATTCCAAAAAGCTATCCTTCTCTGGAATCTATACATATATCACAATGTCTTTCTGATAGCCTTCCAGAAGTGAGAAACACACTTTCAGATTGCCTCAGAAGGATTTTCTTAGACCAACATGAGTGGTCAATCAGGAAAGACATTCTCCTTCAAATTTTCCACCACTGGGGATACCCAGTAATAGACTTATTAGTGACCAACCTGAACAACCAGTGAACAAGATTTTGCTCCAGAGTGGGCCACAGCTTAGACTCCATCACAGATGCCTTCCTCTCCTGTGGTCTAGTCATCTTCTGTATGCCTTCCCTCCAATTCCTTTCATTCTGAGGATATTCAGGAAACTGAAAAGAGACAAAGCAACATTAATCCACAGAAGTGTTGGATTATCTGTTGCACCTGAAATCCTCAGGCCTTTCAATTTGTTCTTTGAGAGTCCACCTGGCTCTCATGTCTGCGCTACATCTGCTAGTAGATGAGTTTTCCATTTTCTCTCACTCTCTGGTTTTTGAAAGGGCTACTCAATGTTTACCCTCCTGTGTTTGATCATGTAACTGTATGGGATCTCAGTCTAGTTCTCTCCAAACTCATAGGACCCCCCTTTAACCCTACGGCTACAACCTCACTACCTTTGTTGTCTATGAAAACAACATTTCTGGTGGCAATTGCTTCCACAAGGAGGATTTCAGAACTTCACACTCTCTTGATTGATCCTCCTTCCATAGTCTTCCATAAAGACAAGACTTACCTTAGGCCACACCCTAAGTTTATGCCTAAAGTAGTGTCAGCTTTCCATTTGAACCAAACTAATT